TGATGGATCACTCTCGAACGCCTCTACTGACCTTTGTTCAATGGGAATAGGTTGGATTTGTCCTGACCTTTATGAATTCACTATTTGTTCCTTCAATGCTTCCATCACCAACAATCCTTCATCATCAAGAGCTGAGTTATTCGCCCTTATCTCGGCCATTATCACCTGTCCTTTAGCTTCTTTCCCTCAGATCTTCACAGATAGTCAAGCCATTATACAAGGTTTTGATCAATATGTTACACATAACGTGTTAACTACAAGATCGAGAGAAAAAATTCCCAACTACACCGCTTGGATTTTACTGCAACACATTATTCAACAGTTGTCATTGACCGTCACTTTTGTCAAAATTAAGGGACACTCTGGGGACTTCTTTAATGACAAAGCTGACACTCTCGCAAAGGATGGTCGCTCTCAGCCAACTTTTCAGCTTAATTATTCGTCAATTGAGGACCTTCAACTGACTTTTTTATTCAACAATACTCCAATTGAATTCTCGTCAAGAAAATTCTGGAAAGATCTCAATTCTGCTGAACACTTCTCTTCATTCATAGAATTACAGAGAAATACCTCCTTGCTAAGACTCACAAGATCTTCCTCAGTTTCCTGGCCTCCTTCTCTAAAAAACTATAATTCACAAGACGATACACCAACCATGACTACATTTATCCAAAGGAATAAGAAGGCCTTCAAAACTAAGATACTCGCTGAAGAACTCCCTACTCTTAATAAACTCATTGTTCGACGTCCAGATCTCTACAATAATTGGAAATGTATTACCTGCAATAATGCAGTAGAAGATCTCGACCATTTATGGACTTGTCCTACCAACCAAGCCACCATTATTGATCTTCAAACCTCATTTAGAGCTTTTTTGGAGCAAACTATTATCAATAAGTTAGGAAAGAATCCTGACCGTCTTGCCCTGTTTCATTCCTTAAAAACTCGGCTATTCAACTGCATTGATCTTCAGTCACGATCAGATTCAGTCTACCTTTTGACAAGAGGTTTAATCCCTTCTGAACTATTTCACTTATTGCGTTCCTTGTTCGCTCCTGGCAATACCTCTCTCATTATTGGATTAACAACCAATTATCTTATCCAACTCTTTCACGATAAGATTTGGCTTCCTCGCTGTAATAAACTGATTGATAAGGAAAGATCATTAGGTATTTCTTCAAGACTGAAGAAATTGAAGAAGAGGAAAAAAAAGAAGTCAGTTTCAGCTGTTCTCGCAACTCACACAAAGGTCACTATTTTCCCTTCTCAAAAACGGGAGGATAAATCAACAACTTGGAAATCTTGGTTAACTTTGGCCTTAAAGTTTGGCAACTCTTGGTTAGATTTTGTTAATAGGTACTGATAACTTCATTTGAATTTCTTTATGATAACTTGATCATCAAATATGGATTTTTTGGTTCTGTTGGAAGGGAATTCCGGTGATTAGTCGATCTAAACGGGTTTGAGCTAATTTTTAGTAATAGAATCACGTGAGATAGTCATAGTTTTGTCTTTTTATTTTTTTTACTTTATTTTATTTTTATTTTAATTTTATTGTAATAGCATATAAAAATTAATAAACTTATGACAGTACTACATCGTTAAAAAAAAAAAAAAAAAACCAATCGATTCCTTGTGACGTAAAGAATCCAATGAACTAACATTCATTGATTTTGGATCATCCAATTGCGAGATAATCGCAACTGAATTATCAGCTGAAATTATGAATCAATAAATTCTATTTTAAATAAAGGAGTTCAGATTTCGAAATACGATAGCGAATATCTCGAGATGGGCTGATCCAAAATCAATGAATTGGATTCGTCTAGTCACGAAGAATCGAATGGTAGTTGTTTCATACGAATCGGTGCGATATTGATTGAGATCGTACATCTTTTATTTTTTTTTGATTTTTTATATAAAAAATTCATGTGATATGACGTAATTTCGACCATTTCGACTTTTCATTTCGACTTTGACCTCCAAAGTCGAAAAATTTCAACTTTTGGGTTTTCATTTCGACTTCATGTATAATCCCAATCTTTAAAGTCTAAAATAATAAATTTATTATATAAAATTATATAATTAACTATTTCAGCCAAAGCTAACTCGTAATCTTTGATTTACTGTTTTAAAATCATATTCTGCATAATGTATAATATCAAATTTATTAATTTTTAGAATTTGTCTAAGCATATTCATTGTTTGTCTGAAGCTTTAAGTTGATTTTATATAATGTGATAATTCAGTTATATATGATCGGCAAAATGATTAACATGTGATATAAGCATGTTCACTATGAAAAATCATATAATATCATATTATGTGACCATTTTATGAGTTGACAAAATATCCTGTATTTCAAATGCGTTTTTTGCACTGTATCCTACCTCAATAACAATCCCACTACAAATAAGAATTTAACTGAACATGTGATTCGATCTTCTTCAGAGCCAATTTAATTCACATAGCATCTGAATATTCAATATCATATTATATTTGTAGATATGGGTACAAATATTTAAGAATAATATATTGGACCACAGTTAACCAACGAAAATTTCTAATTGTTCATACATTAAAATTTATATATGAATATTCATTGCTGAGGAGAATCATAAGTATGAAGTGATAGACTTGATTTTAATTTACTTAATACCAACTTTAATTACTAACAGATGACTAAAGTAATATGTATATATATTTTTAAAATTTTTTTTAAAAAAAGTGACCATAATTAGGTCAAGAATAATCAAATTTTGATTTATGGTAATTGGAAATTGAGGATGACTCTTTAATAATAAATTGTTATTATTATATTATAGTCATACAGAAGTGAATTGGAATCTTAAAAATTAAAAGGAAAAAAACATGTATCACATTTGAATATTTATTATAATTTTAAAGAAGTCAAAATAATATGAGAAGAGTACTTTTTTTTAGAAAAATTGATTTTTTCATTATAAAAAATGTGGTAGAAATTTTTTTTTTAAAACACTTTTAATTTGATAATATAAAAATCATTAAATAAAAGCATATCTCATTTTGTTCTATAAATGTCAATTTATTTAAAAGAATATCTTACAAAGTTTTTTTCAGATTATATATATACATGTGAAGTATATGATAAATCATTAACATAAAAAATGGAAATACTGTATCATTCCAAAAATAAGTATCGACAGAAAATAAGTACTATAACTAGTAATACCTGACTAAACTTTTTTTTGAAAAATTATAATTTCGTCAAAAGTTTTGTTTCTTTAATATTTTTATATGAATAAATATAAAATTATTATATCTTTTAATGTATTTTAATTCAAGAAATTTAGCAAATTAAATATAATTTCAGCAATTAAGTAAAATAATTTTGTTATTAATAAAAAACTAGTTTCGTCATTTCGGTTTCGTTAATTTTATCATATTAAGAAAGGTAATTTTGTCAGGTATCACTAACTACAACATTTATATATATAAGCAATTTTTGTTAGTATCTCGATCAATATCCATCCAAAAAGTTATATAAAATATATCATTCGATTCTTTTCATCAACGATTGAAGGTTAAGCACTCTTATTCTAAATCCTAGATTTATAATAATATCCTAGACCCCCTTTCCTTAAATATGATTGGTTTACATCAGCCACATTAAGATTTTTGTGTAACATTTATCTTAGAAAATATTTTGTCTATTTTTGCATTTCGCGCGGACTTTTAAATATTAAATAATAGAAATTATTCTGTATTTTTATATACTCTAAACATTAAAAAATAAATAAAGATTTTTTAACAAAAATCATAATGAAATTTCTTTAATATTTTAATATAACAATTGTAAAAAGTAACTATTTAACCTTAGAAATATAAGCTTTATTAAAATGAAAATTTATTTGAATTTTATATGCCAAAAATCAATATTAGAATTAATAATTATATTTTATTATTAAATGCTATAAAACGAGCTTTGGATAATATGGGTGGTGTGCTATTAAAATTGAGGTACAGATCATATGATTTATTATGTCTCATACCTCAATTTTAATAGCATACCACCCATATCACAAAAAAATTAATAACTTCACAACCATTAAAGCTAGACTCGCAAAAATTAATATGCAAACAGTTCTATACCTGCTGAATAACTTTAATTAAGCTTTCTTTGCTATTTTCTTTGACTAAAGTGTTAAAATTACACCTGAAAGTAAAAATAAAACGTGTTTTAGTACTATTACAAAAAAATCAACAACTCTACTACCATTAAAGCTAAACTCATGAAAATTAATATGCAAATAGTTCCATACCTGCTGAACAAATTTACTTATGCTTATTTCGCTTATTTAGTTTGACCAAAGTGTTGAACTTACATTGTGAAATCCCTATACAATACGAAAAATACGTTTGTTATGAAATTACTTATAAAAATATCACAACTTTATAATAATATTCTACACCTGAAATCCTGAACTGCAATTAAAGTTTTATTAATTAACAAAACTTTTAAATATATTTTTAAAACATGAAAAAAGGAAGAAAATATGGAAGAAGAAAAAGAGTTAATAATGGTAAATGAAGCATAATAGAGTTTTTCAAATGATCATCAATTACACAAACTATTTATATAGCATTTACAATAGTATTTATATGTAAATTATGATATTATATATTAAGCCACAATAAAGACACACCCGTTTGACACGAAATTTTACAGGAACATATTTTTATTGCTATTTTACCATTATATGCATTATGATTTCTACAATCTCAAAATTTACAAAAGTTTCCTTTGAAGAGACTTTCAGTTAAACATATTATATTATGAGTTTTACAATCTAAAAGTGAATAAGTCCGTATTATATTATGAATTATACAATAAACAAGTAAGTTAATTTTTTGGACTTAATTTTACTTACAATAACAATTATTAATGTAATTTAATCATTAATTTTATATTATATATCAAGTTTAATGGATATTAAAAATTATATTAACATATTTTATTATTACCAATTATTTATATTATCAATTGCCACTGCTAATGCAACAGATATATCAGTTTGTTCATTTACTGCTGCCTCTGATTCTTTCTCTTTCTCTTCATTATTTTCATCATTCAAGTCATCTTGCGTAAGTATATCTTTTCCTTTTCAATTCTTTTTAAAAATGAATTTACATTTTCAAATATACCATTCTTATAAAAATTTTCACAATAGATACATCTTTTACTGTAACAAGCTGAATGATAATTATGGCCACAAGTTAGTGACACCACATCATCATTATTCAATTGGAATCCACAACAATTACATAATCCTGATTGCAAAGGATATGATGTACTGTATGCTGTTAAAATATAACGTAAATCCACTTCTTTTCTCAAAGTAGCTAATTTGTATCCTTTTAGTTTTTTTTTTTGCTATTATATAATGGAATACTATTGTTTTGATTTTGAAATATGCTACGAAAGTATTTTATCAGGAAAAGATTAGCTTTGTTAGATAAAAAATTAAGTGTAGACGAATTATATGGGTAATGACAGATTTTGCAATATGTATCTTTAAAAATAGGATCATGATCTGCTATTTATATCAATATTAAAAAAGTAAGTATAAGATAATTTATATTTTTAATAAAATGCAAGTTAATTAATATACATATACCAATAACATATGCCTGTTTTATGATACTTTTAGTACTTCTAACGGGTCAAGTCGGGTCAGATTTTGAGAATATATTCGACCTGATCTGAATGAAATAGGAAAACCGTAAGTATTTAGGTCACAAATTTTTTATAACCCGAATCGATTTGACCTTAGTATAGTTTAACCCATATAAATCTGAGCTAAGACTCGAATTTTTTACTCTAAAAAGTATATATATATATTCAATTAATATCAACATTAAAATTCAAAATTTATTAATTAACAAATATTTATTTTATGCTTGCCAGGATTTCAAGCACATGCATGCACTAATTGTATTTGAATTAAGACTACATCTTTTGGCAGCTACTAAAATTTTTCTTTTATTCATTTCCATTATATCGTTTTTGATTGTATCTGCTTTAGGAACTAGTGTATCTGAATTAAAATCTTTATTATATATCAAAAATCCTTATTTTATGCTGTTGTGAATGGTTGATCATCAGCAATTATCTATTTAGTAAAAAACTTATGAAAGTCTGTTTGTGTAAACTTGGTTATTATTTTTTTATTTACTTAATTCTTATTCTCAAAAAATCTAAATTCTTTTTTAATTTTATAACTTATATAAAATTATAAATATTCAATTATACTTGCTTTAGAAGGAATCTATTTCTGACCTACGAATTTATCTAATGTACTTAGAACTTCTGCCACTGATTTTTTTGCTTTTTTGTTAGGCCTTGGATCTTTTTCTGGATGATGAACTTCTGCATAATGCCAAAGATTAGTTGTATTAGAATTACCAATTTTATGAAGCCAGATTTTCTTTTTTATAAAATTTTAAGAGTATTTAGTCAATATAATCAAAATAAACTAATAATTATCAAATTGATTCAAGTCAAAACCCAAGTCAAGAAAATATATGACCTGACCCGTCAATCAGGTCATATGTATTACGAGTCATCAAAAAATGTTAATACTGACCTGACCTAAGAATGCGAGTCAGGTTAAATTATCTAGGTTAACCCAGATTTATCAGAACACTATATACTTTCAACCGTTACATTTGAAGAGGTATTTGCTCTTATTCGACTATGAATATTTTCAACGTAATAATCATTAAAACATGATAAGTAATTTTTAATTGCATTAGCAAATGGTGATATTTGTCCTGCCAATAGAATATATCTGATAGAAATACAAGGGATGCTTTATTGTAATTTTTTCATTTTCAACATAATGTAAATGTTTAAATACGAAATACAGTTTTTACATATTCTTTAAATGAACCAGATCAAAATAGAATTGCATAAACATCAAGTGTTACTGGTACTAAATTGTCTAGCAAATCAATTGTTGTTTGATATTCAACATATTTATACATCGCGAATTTAAATATAACGGAGTACTTCAAAAATTTACGTTGTGTAGGTTTTCGTAAATCTACGAGACCCACGAAGTTCTATACAACATAATACTTCGAAGGTCTATGTAACGTAATACTTCAGAGGTTTATATTTCGAAGGACTATATAACGTAATACTTCGAAGGTTTATATTTCAAAGGTCTATACAACGTAATATTTCGAAAGCTTATGTAACATAATACTTTGAAGGTTTATATTTCAAAGGTCTATATAATGTAATACTTCAAAAGTTTATGTAACGTAATACTTCAAAGGTTTATATTTCAAAGGTCTATATAACGTAATACTTCAAAAGTTTATGTAACGTAATACTTCGAAGGTTTATATAATGGAATATTTCAAAGGGTTATAAATCATAATTTTACATAATACTCAAATAACATGTATAATAAGTAAATCATAATTTTACAAAATAATGTACAATATTCAAATAACTTTATTTAT